TTTTTTTTTTTTTTCTTTTTTCTGGATCCATAAATAAGAAAGCAAAAGGAAAGACACTTAAAACTAGGACACAATTTAATATCCAAATTAAAATGTTGCTCTCCATTAAACAATTAAGATGAAAGCCTTGTAAAGTAAAGCAGATAATGGAACAATAAAATCACAAACAGAGGATTTGCTAGAAAATATTAAAGGATTATAAATAACAACCTATTCCAATGGCCATCAAATATATTTTCTAGTTCTGGATGCTGTGGATCATCTTCATCAGGAACCCAAGGTTCCAACTCTCTCCATCTTCACACGATGAGATTGTGCTATTGCAGGGTCTCTCATAATTTCTTGCTGCTTTGCATGTTGGAGCTCCCTTGCAAGGCTATCCTTAGTAACAACAGCATCCTGGAACTGCTGATTAACTAACAGATTATTTAATTTGAATAACTGACTTGATGCAGTCTTGGCAAAGAAGCCTTGGAGAAAATAATTCATACTATCTTGCATAATTAGTAATTTTGATGTAATTTTTGGATCTACAGGTAATTAAACTACTTCAATTATTTACTATTTTGGTAGTTTTTTATTTCAAATATAATTAAATGGTCAGACAAGCACTCCACTGTGTCTGATAAGGCAAATGTTATGCTCTATTTGAGTCTTATGAGTTAAGACAATAGAGAAACAAGTATTATGAATCCTCCTCCTCCTCATATATCTCTATTTTCCTCTCTTTCCCCTTCTCCTTTTATCTCTCCCCCTAGCTTGCATCACTTCTTTATTCTCGTATAATGATTCCTTATTAACCAGCTGAAATACACTACACTAAGCTCATGAATAAATGGAGAGATTAAAATTTACTTCATTCAGTAACAAACCAGAACAAAAACAGAAATTCAGCAAAACCTTTGCTATAACTTGCACGAGTTCTTTGGCAGGTATAATTTACGTCTCTGATGGAGCCTTGCTAACAAACTCTGCAATAGCATTCTCTCCTCACAAAGTACCATCTTTTATCCAGCGAGCCATTATCAATATGATTCCTGAAAGTGACAAAGCGTTCCATTGTTAAAGAAGGAAATTCAACTAAGACATATTAATAGCTCTTTAGAAAAGAATTATATGAAAACCAAAAACTCAGAAGAAAAAAAAAAAATACAAAGCATAAGCACAGTCAAGAAGCAAAATAAACATATAATACCAAAATCTCTTTCTGCATCTGTTGCATGAAATATTCCAGTGAATATTGATCCATTTTTCACATGGAACTCCCCGGGATGACCAATAAGACATGTCACCAAATATACTAAACGATCATGGGAAGGACATCCAACCTTCCCACCAGCTGGTACACCAATACCAAGTAAATATCAGATGGAGAGTAGTAAAGAAAATGACAAAGAAAAAGGTTGCTGACATCTCACCTGCATTTGGTATTCTTCCAGCGTTGGATTTTCCGGACGGCGACTTATTTTCCAGCCTAGTCTTGAAATTTCTATCACCTCCTCTTCTACGACCAAATCCATTAGCATAAGACTTGGGTAGTACTACTTGCTGCAAATTCATTTTCTCTGTGGACACAACCATAAACGAACAAAGAGCTCAGAATCAGGGTTTTCCTTTTTTCTGTTTTTTTGGCCAAAAGCTAGGAATCAGTTTTATCGACAAAATTACACATAAAAAGTGTATCTCGTACAAAAATTCAGAACATTCAACAGACTTGGATGTAAAGTTAAATTTAGAAACCGAACCTATACGAAAAAGTTAGTTGGCACTTCTCCATGTAGAGGTTGGATTTGCAGTACCAAGTCTCCCAAATGACTACACGCTTGGCACCATAGTTGCGTAGATAGATTACATCTATAATTAGTAAATTACGGCCTAAACTGTACACTAAACAGCTTAAAAAATACATATATTGCTTGAACACATCCTCATCTTACTTGAAATCAAAGGGGGCGACTTTAGAAGAATTGTGAAGACACATCTCTTGACTTAAACCCAAACCACCACAGAATAGTCATTGGAAAAAATCTTATGGTGGGTTCAACTTAAGGACAGAAAAGCCAAGATTTAAGAAAAGGAGAGGACATGTCTTATGACCTGATCCAAAGCCACTTTGGAGTAGTAGAAAGTTTAATTAATGACTATAAATTAAGTGTTTCTTGGGAGGCAACTCAAGCATAAATTTTTCTTTTCTTTTCTTTTATTTCTTTGTCTTTTATTTTAATAGTTTTGATTTATTATTATTATTTTTTTCTCTTTATGGCCCAAGTTAATGCATAAATTGTTGTTCTTTGATTTTGACCAGGCCATTGAATAAGTTTGAAAATTCACATGCTTGAAGTCTCTTTTAATTGAATACAACTTAACTTCAGAACTTAAATTTTAAGTTTTCAAGTGCAAAACATGAAAAGTTTCTCTGTTTTTTTACTTTTATTTTACATTGAGGACAATGCTTGATTTAAGTTTGGGAGAGAGAATAACTTTTAGGTATCCATTCTTACATTAGTTGCATTCATATTTGCTGGACACATTCTTTTTTTTTTTAGAAATTAGGGTATTCTTTTAGGAGTTAGTCTAATTAGTGTCAAGGAATTGAATATTGTTGAGTTAAAAATTCAAAAACTTCTAAAATCTTTGAATCTTAGAGGAGATACAAAATCCAAAAAATAACATCATTGTGATGAAATTTAAGTTTATGAGTATTCTATTTTACTTGAGCATAAGTTTGTAGTGAGAAATTTAGAGAGAAAACTTAGTAGCACCGAAAAAGCACCTAAAAAAATTAAAAAAGAAAAAGAAGCCAACACACAGAAGAGTATGTTAATTTTTACTCCAATGTTTCTAGTTGCTTAATAACTGGGGGTTAGGCATGAGATTCATGTCAACTTTCACGTCAAACGATAACTTGAAATATAAGAATGTAAAGTACTTTGAGTTTATGACTTGTTGGGTAACTAGATGCTTTCGTCACAAATGTTAGTATTCGTGTCTAAAGACAAGTGATAGCTTAGAGAAGAATGTGTTATATGGCTGAAAAAAAGGGAAAAAAAGAAAAAGGAAAAAAGAGAAGTCAAATGTTTCGTGACTTTTATTACGAGTAATTATGTTCTTAAGGGTGTCTCTTCACCTAATGTCCTAAAGCCAATTGATTTGGGAGTTATTGATAGAAAGCTCATTACATGGGTAATTTAGAAAGGTTAAGGAAACTCAACACAAAAAAGAAAAAAAAGGAGAAAAAGAAAAAATTAATAATAAGTGCTAAGGTGTAAAGGTCTAAACTCGAGATTTCTTACTCTAAATTTTCACACACACACACTAAGTGTTCATGAGCTAAATCTTTTGAGAAGTGGTGTGAAGAATAGAATGGAGTATTTGACTTTAAGTGAGTATATGAAAACTCTTGAATATTTGAGATTTTGTATCAATTGAACTTTAATTCCTAAATTTTCTTTGCATGCATATCATATAGTTGCATTCTTACATTAAGATTTTGTGAGTAGATCCACTGAAAACCCTGATTAGATACAACTCGTCCACTAAGGTAACTTAGGGATTTAAAGGCTTGTTGCACATGCTAAGTGCAATCATGATCCTTACGAAAGTAAATTAGGTTTTATTTTCTTTTTGTTTATTTGTTTTTTTTATTTTACTCGAGAACGAGTAAAACTTAAGTTTGGGAAAATTTAATGAGTTGAATTTATATAAATATTGATGTGAAATTGTTGCCTTGATATTATTGTTATTTGGATGGGTTTTATGAGATTTTACTTGATTTGACATAATATTCATTCTTTGGGCAGGAAAGGACTTAATTGAAAGAAATTATAATTTTTAGGAGTATATTATAGAGATAAAAAATATTAGCATCAACTTGTGCAGAATCTAAAAGTTAGGGACCAGGACTGTTATTTTACCATTAATAAAAATTCTTAGAAGACCAAAAACCCGACGCGGTGAATTGTTGACGTGCGCTTTCCAGAAGGTGCCGGGACCTAGTTGAAGGTGTTGACGCCTTATGAGATTTAAGGAATCCATGCCTAATTTATTGTTTTGGGTGTGGCTGTCACTTTTATTCCAATTAAGATTTTTAAAATCTTATAAATACTCATCTAAGTTTAGAATTGAGAAGAGCTTAGAAAGCTGGTGATGGTTCTCTTTTAAGCATTATTAGAAATCAAGATAAGAGATCTGTTAATAATAAAAAATTAAGAATTTCAATTTCTTTAAATTAAGTTTTTTTTCTTCCTTGATATTTTTATGTTTATGACAATTTATGATAATGATTTCAAATTTTATTATTTTTATTATGAACTAATTTATTTTATTAAGAATACATATAACATAATCAATTTATTATAGATTTTGTGATTTTATACTTTTAATTAAAATTATTCACATGATGAGTTTATATTATTGAACTTAATGCATTAAAAACTTGATAACCTTTCAATTGATTTAATGATTTATACACTAACTTGAGAAAGAATTACGTAAATTAGATCAATAATAATATAAACCGTATGTTAGACTATAAAATCGATGAGTAATTAGCATCACATGTGGTATTAGGAGAAGAAAAGAGAGTTAAGAGCTCGCATTTTTAAATTATAGGTTTTTATAGAATTTAATACTCATTAGTTTATTTAAAATTACATAAATTAAGGAAATCTGTCATTACATACAATAACACTCAATAAATTGGTTTTGAAAGCATATTAATTTAAAATTTATATTAATTGACTATAATGAAATCAATGTTTTAATACCTCATATTTTAATTAATTTTATTTTAATTGTTATTTCTTTCTTATCATTTTTAATTAAAGTTTCTTTCTTATCTATTGTTGATTGTTTAAATGAATTTAAATTAATTATTTTGATACTTAATTAATGTGTATTTGATATTTTACTTATCATTATATTATTTAGAGTAATTAGTATGGTTGATAGAGTGATTTTAGTTGATTTTAGTTCAATCAAGAGAAACCTTCGAAATTTGGGAACGTGCAATAGAAAATAACAAATGGGTATTCTCATCAGTCCTCACCCTCAGCTTGGATTAGTGCATGTCCCCATCATTCTCCACATCACCACCTACCCAGAAAAACGGTCTTTTGCTTTCAAAGCTTGCTGCTTTTATTCTGGGCTTCCGTCAGAAGCTCTTGATACAGAAGCTACGACTGCAGGAAGTTATAATTCCTATCTCCAACCCACCCCACCACAAGGCCACAACCATTACCGCATGGTCACACCACCACCTTCCGCCTTTAATTATTATTTGTTTTTTTAGGAATCAAAACCCAAAATCCCAACTCTGATGTTTGGATAAGCCAAGAAATAGAAACCAAGAAGAAGACTACAGGGAGACAATTACCTGTGAGAAAGCCAGCAATCGAAACCATCCTTCAATCAAGCACTCAAGATTCAAGGGACCTCCCAACAAATTGAGATGCACTCGAAGCTGCAATAGAGAGGGATTCGCCTGCAACTTCGACGAGATAGCTCTTCCCATCATCAGGCCACGAGGACAAACAGATTTACCATAAACAAAGAGATATAGGGCTTGGATTCGGTTGAAAGGCAAGCAAAATTGCTTGCAGTGGGCATTTGGGGATAGGGATTCCTTTGAAGATAACAGTGAGTATTTAAAAAACGATAAAACAAAATTATTCAAGATTTCTTGGAAATTATAACTAGTTTAACTATAACTAGTTCATTTAAGATTTCCTGGAAATCATTCGAGTGCTCAGATACATTTTTGCCTTTCTTTTACTTGGGAGTGACTAGCTTTCTAATAAGTGATGCCTTCTTTAATGCATTCTTTCTTTCAAATTGCTTTTCAAGTTTACTTAACAATTTATAAGTCTTCTTCTCTTGAGCCGCATAATGAATCACACTCATGGCAACCATTTGCAGATTACACCACAAGCTTTACAATCTATCTTTTTCCAATCAAAATTATTGATTTTTTTTGGTTGGATACCTTTGTGTTCAATTAAGTTATAAAGGTTCTTACAAAACAGCTTGTCCTCTGTCAAAGTTTTCCACAAGGAATAGTTGGAAGTATTCAATTTAATCATAGTTAAACCATCCTTTTC